ATAATAATTTAATTAAAATGATGAAAATAATTTTGATGAAGAAATCGATCACTCTGAGTCTTCGACTCGGAGCAATTGATATCTTCAAGTTTTCTAAACAATACTTTTATAAGTTGTTTAATTTAAAAAAGGTTTGAATTTTGAATTTTTGAATGTCTTAATTCCTGTCGAAAATCCTGTTCCAAAAATAAGATTAAAATATAAATTGTGCAAATATTTTTCTTCTTTTTCTAAAACAAAATAATAATTTTCTTAACAAAATTGTGATTCAAAAAGAAAATAATGGAAAATAAATAAATTTTCTATTTCTTCATCACAGTTTTTTTCTAGTTTTTTAGAAGTAGTAAAGAACAAAAATAATTTCAATTTGACAAAACATAATATTTAACAAAATTTTAGTCTTTTAATGAAAAGAAGTAAAAAAAATATTGATGATTTCTATTTTCTATCTAAAGTTAACAAAAAACAAAAGTATAAAGAAAAGATAACTTCAGAAAAAGTGAGGGACAGAAAAAGTGAATGAAAGAATGAAAGAACATTCAAATTAATATAGTTAATTAATTAATAATTAATAATAATAATAGTTAATATTTGATTTTAATTTTCTCTTGTTTTATTTTTTATATTATCATTATAAATATTTCAGTAAAACCTGTATAATTTAGACTGAATAAAAAACAAAAATATTCTCAGAAATATAATTAAAATATTTTATAATAAAAAATAAAAAATTTTATTTCTATTAATTAAATATTTGATTGAAATAAATTCACGCTTTTTAGTTTAGAGAACAGAATGGAGGGGAACAAAATGGAGAACAGAAGAGAGGGTGGGGGGTGTAAATTCAATTTCTAATTAAAATATATAATTAAATTGTTTCTTTTTGAAAGCAAAAAAATATTGAATGTATTAATGGAAAAAACTTGTGCAAATAATATAGCAAAAAGGGTATATTTCATATACTGAAAAATTATGTTAATGTCACCTATTCTTTTTATCTCACTTCCGGGCCATATTATGTCTAGCGTAAGGCACCCACCATGTAAATAAAAGCTCGGTATCTCGTACACCAAGAATTCACATGCAGTTCAGTCGTCATCATGAATGGTCGTCGTAGTCGTCGTAGTCGTCACAGTCAGGCCCTTAAATACTACACGTATAGTCGTTTACATCTCAGTCTTCAGTTAACTACAGGCCCTGACAGTTCAAAAATTCAATCGACGATCCTTCAGTTCAATTTCATCTCTGTACGTGTTCAGATCCATCAACAATATTCTCTTCAAGTCTTCTGTATATTTTTTTTTTACTTTTTTTTTATAATAAATACTTTTTTTTATTTTTTTAAACAAATATTGATGTTAAAAATAAATTTTTTAAATTTTCGCAAATATTACAGAAAATTATTTTTTAATTTTTGTAAATTATAATTACCATTTGTTTTAATTTTTAATTTCTCTTTTCGTTTTAGAAAAAAAATTGCAGTTAAATTAAAATTTTTTCTTTTCTATATTTGTAAAGAGTGGATAAAAAAATTTTACTGGCTTTCAAAAAAAATTTTTTTTAGTGCTTTGTGAGAAAGTGAGTGAAATAAATTATTTTTAAATTGGATATTCAAATTATAGAATTGAGAAAAGTGAATTGTTTTATAAAGTTGTACATGCAGAGAAATATTTTATTTGAATCAAATAAAATTTATTTGGTTCACTTAATCAAACAACATCAAATAAATATTTTTTTTGCCTAGTAATTTTTTTTTTTTGAAACAAATAAATTTTATTCAATTTCAATAACAATTCTATTTGACCTAAAAACATTTATTTAGGCCAAGTAAATTTTTTATTTGAAATAAATAAATTTCATTTGGACTAAAAAACATTTATTTGTGCCAAGTAAATTTTTTTAACGCAAATAAAATTTATTTTTAATTACAAAATTTACTTGACAAAAATAAATGTTTCCTGACGCAAATAAAATTTATTTGTTGCTAATTTTTACATTCGAAATAAATAAATTTCATTTGGGTTATAAAAACATTTTATTTGTGCCAAGCAAATTTTTTTAGCGTAAATAAAATTTATTTCTTTCAAATAAAAACTTTACTATTGGTACAAATAAATTTTATTTGCGCCAATTATATTGTTATTTAAATTAAATAAAATTTATTTCTTTTAAATAAAAAATTTGTTTCGCACAAATAAATGGTTTTTAGCTCAAAGAAAATTTATTTGTTAAGAAAAAAAATAATTCCACTTGTAAGTCATTAAATTTTCTTTTCAGCATGTATAAAAATTATTTAATTACAGTTATTCATGATTATAAAATTTTACGATTGCATTATCGGTAAGCGGAGTATAACATCTTGAAATTAAGAGAGAATTATGCTCCATTTATCACTAATGCGGTGGATAAAAATCAACGTGTTTACACTCAATCATCATCATCATCAGCATCACCACTTTTCTGCGGATCTTCAAAAAATATATTTTATTTGACAATGTCAAATTTTTTATTTGCTCCTAGCAGAACCCATATTTAAGCATTAACTCCGTAATTATGGCAGGAATTATGCTTAAAATATGCGGAATTGCAAACGAGTTATACATCATTTTATATTATTTTCACTGGACAGAAAATTGGACACCTTTTATTTTTCGAAACATGGAGGTGAGTTGCTTTTTATTTTTTAACAAAGTGTATAAATTTGTGATAGTTTTTTTTATAAACAATTTTTTCTAAAAATTATTTATCTTACTATACAATTCATATATATATATAGTAGAAGAATAATATTTAATTATTTAAATATTTGATTAACATAATTAAAAATATCCAATTATTAAACTATTTAATTAACATAATTAAACAATTTTCAAGAATTTAATTACTGTAATTAAACATTTTTTAATCATTTAAGTATTTAATTAATATAATTAAACAATTTTCAATTATTCAAGAATTTAATTACTGCAATTAAACATTTTTCAATTATTTAAATATTTAATTAATATAATTAAACAATTTTCAATTATTCAAGAATTCAATTACTGTAATTAAACATTTTTCAATTATTTAAATATTTAATTAATATAATTAAAATATATTCAATTATTAAAATATTTAATTAACATAATTAAACAGTTTTTAATTATTTAAGATATTAATTAATATAATTAAATAATATGCCACTATTTGAAGAGTAAATTAATAGTTTAAACGATATTCAATTATTTAAATATTTAATTAATATCATTAAGAACTATTCAATAGTTAAAATTAAAATTTGTAAGTTAATTATTATAATTTAATTGTAGTTGTTACTGATTGGGAGTTTATTCTAAATGTGCATTTACTTCGTAATTCATAATTCACTAATGATGATAATTTTTTGAAAAGAATAATTTTTGTTTTTCTATTTATTAATGAAATATATAATTTAAACTTTACTCAGTAAATTAAAATTATTAACATTGAAAACTGAAAATTTACTCACTAAATTAACAATTTTCAGTGTAAATTGATACCTTTTTCTGTAAATTAAAAATTTACACTGTAAACTAAAAATTTATTCTGTAATTAAAAAATTTTCTCACTTTAAATTGAAACCTTATTCTGTAAATTAAAAATTTACACTGTAAACTGAAAATTTACTCTGTAATTAAAAAATTTTTCACTGTAAATTAAAACCTTATACTGTAAATTAAAAATTTACACTTTAAAGTGAAAATTTATTAATTTACTAGTATAAATGGAAAATTTACTCTGTAAATTAAAAAGTTGCACTCTGAATTGAAACCTTACACTGTAAATTAAAAATTTACACTTTAAACTGAAAATTTATTAATTTACTAGTATAAATGGAAAATTTACTCTGTAAATTAAAAAATTGCACTCTGAATTGAAAACTTAATCTGTAAATTAAAAATTTACACTGTAAACTGTAAATTTATTAATTTACTAGTATAAATGGAAAATTTACTCTGTAAATTTAAAAAATTGCACTCTGCATTGAAAACTTAATCTGTAAATTAAAAATTTAAACATAGTAAACTAAAAATTTACTAGTATAAATGAACAATTTACTCTGTAAATTGTAAATCAACTTTCTAAATAATTGTAAATTTTTTCTTATAACAACACATAAAGTTTATTAAAATTCAGAAAGAAATTTGTGAAATATAATAATTGACTTGATTAAAATAATTTAGGTATAACTTCAATGTAATTGAAAAGAAATTATTAGTTTCACATGAATTAATTAGTATAAAGTATTTTAATTTACATAATCAATTAGTTATTTAATTTTTTTATAACTTAAAATTAAGTAATTATTTCATTCTTATAATTTTATAACTTTTAAAATTTAAACTTTAAAAACTTATTTTCAATAAATTACATTCAATAAAAAAAATTTTAAAAGGAGAAATTAATTACATTCAATAAATTAATCAATTACTAACTAATAATTACGATAAATTTTTGAAAATAATATTTTTTCTTGTTCTATTTTTTAAAAAAAAAATTTTATTGTTCTACTTCCATTTATTATTTTCTATTTAAGTAGCTAGAGGGTTAATTAAATAAATAAAAATAATAATATCGTCCGAAACCAAAAGGTATGGACTATAAATAAATAAAATAAAAATAATAATATAAATTCTATTACTAATACCTAGTAATAATGAATAATGAATATAAAATAATAATACAAATAAATAATAAAAATAATAATTATTAGTATTGTTAATATAATAAATATCAATAGTAGTTATTATTTAAATAATTAATTTCCTTTTCTTTTAAATTATCATTTAAAAAGTCTGTATGTAAAATAAACGCAGAAATCAGTGGAAAGGAGAAAAATATTATTATTTACACCTTTTTTTTGTCATAAACTGTTTGATTAGTTGTTTTATCGCTAAAATTAACTTGAACGATAATGTTATCTAACATTGTTTGATGCAATATTTTGCAAATTTCGCATTCAATTGCCATCAGTGGCGAGAAGGAAAGACATCCACTCTGTTAAATTTAAAAAATAGAATTTCTCTTTGCAAATTTAGTGGTTTTTTCATTTTTTTTTAGTGCAAATAGTGTAAAAATTTCAATGTTCTCTAAATTATTATAATAAATTTGTTTTGAAAAATTAAAAAAAGAAAAATGAAAATTGCAATTGTGGGTGCTGGTGTCATTGGAATGACATCGGCGGTGGCAATAAAAAATGCATTTCCCGAGGCGAATGTTACAGTTTTTGCGGATTCATTTACACCAAATACAACAGGCGACGGAAGTGCTGGACTTTGGGGACCTTATGTTCTCGGCGATACTTCTGATGAAAATATTGTGTGAGTTTTCAGTTCAGAATTTTCTGTTTAAAGTTTAAACGAAAATTTATTTATTTCTATTTATTTTCATTATTTTTTTGATTTTTTCTTTATTTTTTTGATTTTTATTTATTACATTTATTTTTCGTCAAATTATTTTATTTATTTTTTTAATAAAATTTTTTCAGCCAAATTACTTTCAATTTACAATAAACAATATTATTTTTCGTCAACATAATAAACTACATAAATTATCGTTTCTTAGTAATTACAAACTATTTTCCAAAATTTCTTCGAATTGAGAAAATTGAGTTAAATTATTTAAATTTAAAAAATGCTATTAAAAAGGAAGAGATTTTTTAAAAATTCAGAAAAAACGACAAAATTGAATAAAAATAAATAAATTAATTAATTTTATTTTTTAATTTAATCAATAAATTTATTGAGAAAAATTTTCCTTTTAAATTTTGTGTCTTTATTTTCAAAATAAAATGTAAATAAATAAACAAAATAAAGAAATGAATAAAATAAAAAAAAATTTTTTTTAAATTAAATAAATAACAGTGTTAAATAATAATAAATAACGGTAGCAATAAATAATAATATAAACATAATTATTTTCAAATATTATTCCCGCACGTAATGAAATATGTTTTATTTAATTTTCTTCTCTTTTTTGTTTCTTATCTTTGTAACGTTAATTTTTAACTTTGGTTTAGAGAGATTTTTTTTTCAAGCAGATCTCACGTTCCAATTATGTGGATGTCAAAAGTGTTTATAAAATAATCACTTTCTGGTTCACAATCATAACTGCTTTCTGCGAATCACAGCTTCAACTTTTTTTTTTAATGCCTCTAACCATAAGAATAAACATAATTAAAAATAAAAATAGACTGCGTAATATTTTGTGCGTTATTTGGTACAGTCATTTGCAAAATCGACAAATTTTGATTTTCCCATTCACATATTTTTTATGTATCTGAGAAAAATCAAACAATTTCGAGAATAATTTTTTGTTTGCAATTTTATATACTTATTTATTTTTACAATTTTTTAAATTTATATTTTCGAGTAAAAAAAAGTTAAATTTTTTTTATTTCAAAAGTAAAAAAAGTTAAATTTTTTTTATTTTAAAAGAATAAAATGTAAAACTTCTTTTTACTCAAAAATATGCGTAGGATTAAACTTGTGATTTTCTTTTTCAAAATTAGGAAAACTGTAAAAGATTTACTGAACACGTGTCTTTAGAAAAAAAAAACCGAAGAAAGAAATCATTCAAAAAATTTTTTTTTCCTAATATTCAGGTCCAAAGGTAAAACTTTTATTATAGAGTTAAAATTTTACGAATAGAAAAACTCATATTTTTGTCACGTGTTCTTTTTTTCATTTCATCGCAAAAAAAGTTCACATATTTATTTTAATGCACTGTTTAAAAGCATATAATTAAAAATAATTATTTGACAATTAAAATTAACTAAATAAATGAATAATAATTTAAAATAATAATTTTAGTAATAATAAACAAAATAATTAATAATAATAATAAATGGTAAATAATAAATATTTAATAATCATATTAATAACAATAATTACTATTTGTAATATTTTGTTTTATGTTAAATGATTAGTTAATATTGTTAATAATTAATTTTGACAATTAACTTAACAAATAAAACAACAGAAATAATAAGAATTAATAATAATTTATAATTAATTATAATTAATAATAATTTATAATTAATAATAATTATAAATAATTAATAATAATTAATAATAATTATTAATAATTGATAATAATTAATAATAATTAATAGCAATTAATAGTACCTAAATATATAAATAATTAATAACAATAAAAAAATTATTATTATATTGTTATTTAAAATAGGTATTTTTATTATTAATATTATATATTAATTAATTCTTTTTATTTGTTTAAAAATGTAATTTTAACAAATAGACGATGGGCGGGAGATACTCACAAGTGGATGGAACAATTTTGGAAAAGTCCCTTGGCACTTGAGGTTGGAATTTCGTTAACGCCAATATTTCGATTCACAAATGACCCTAAAGGATATTCGAAACCATGTTGGGTACCTCTCGTTTATGGCTCTCAAGAATTAAGTCAAGACGAATTGAAGAGGATCAACAAAGAATATAAATCAAGCTACACGTAGGAAAAAAGAGCAATAAAAATAGAAAAAAAAAATTTTTACCACATTTAAATAAATATTTTTTTTCAAATTCGGAAAATTCTCTCGCACTGTAAATAATATTGAAAGTGACGAAAAAAAATTGATAATTATTACTAAAAAGTATTAATTAAATATTAATAATAATTATCAATTAATTATAATTTTTTTTATCAAACCCTTTTTAATTAACTATGAATCATTATTATAATTTCAAAAATTTTACAAATAGCATTTTTTGATAAAATAAATTAAGAGTAAAGTTTAGAAAAAGAGAATATAAAAAAATTTGTTTTAAATAAATAACAATTAAAATAGAATATGAAAAAATGAAAAATAAAATGAAAGAGTACAATTTAGATAAAGAGAATAAAAAAAATTTGTTTTAATTTTAAATAAATAACAATTAAAATAAAATATGCAAAAATGAATAATAAATAAAATTGAAGAGTAAAATTTAGAAAAAGAGAACATAAAAAAATTTGTTTCAAATAAATAACAATTAAAATAAAATATGAAAAAATGAATTAATAAATAAAATTAAAGAGCAAAATTTAGAAAAAGAGAATAAAAAAAAAATTTTAATAAATAATAAAATAAATATGAAAAAATAAATAATAAATAAAATTTCTTTTTTTGTTTTCTAATAAGAGGCGGATGGCAATTTTTGTCCTACACGTGCGAGCCAACAAAACTATTACCATGGTTGATGAAAACATTTAAATCACAGTCTGGGAAAATTGTGAGGAGAAAAATTAACACACTCGACGAATTGAAAAGGGAAAAATATAATGTCATCGTAAATTGTAGTGGTTTAGGGGCTCGTGAACTTGCAAAGGACCCTCAAGTTACGCCTGTCAGAGGTCAAGTGTCCAGGGTAATAAAAAAATAGTAAATATTTAAACGATCATAAAATTTTTTCCCCATAAAAAAAAAAAATTTTCAAATCTAATTTTCTATTTATTTCTAAAACAAAATTTAAATTTTGTGTCCTTTCAGTCGATAGTTTCATATTTAATTTATTTCTATATGTTTATTTCATTATTTATTTATTGTTGATTAAATTAAATTAAAATAAATTAATATAATAATAATTTAATTTTTCCATTTTTTTTTTCAATTATAAAAAGAATAATTTTTTTTAACGCGAATTATTATAAAAATTTGTAATAGGTTTTTATAATTATTTTATACATAATTATAATTTGAGGATTTTTACGCTTTTTTCAGGTAAATGCTTCGTGGATATTTCACACATTACTGGAAGATAATGATGGTGGAAATTATATCATTACCAAGTGACTACTTTTAAAAATTTTATTTATTTACTATATTTCATTGTTATTACCTATTATTACTTGAAACTAAAATTTTCCAAATTTAAAGCAATTCTAATTTTTAGTAATATTAATTTTTATTAATATTAATTTTTATTAATAAAAATCTTAAATTATAAATTACGAATTTTTAATTTCAGTTTAGAAAGCGTGATTTTAGGGGGTACCAAGCAAAAGAATGATTTTTCTCTTTCAATACGGGAAGAGGATTCAAAATTTATTCACGATGGATGTACTCGAATGATTCCTGCTCTAAAAGTAATTCTTTTTTCCCCCACATATTAATAAATTGATAAGGAAAAATTTAAAGAATTTTGTCTGAAAATAAAATTAGTTGAATAAAAGTATTAAAAAAATTAAATAAAATAAAATTATAATTAAACGATTAAATTAAACAAAATAAAAATTAATTTTAGTAATGAAACTCATAATTTCATATTTTAATTCGTAATTTGAGTTTTCAATTAAATTTAAAAATAATTAAAAATATTTCTATTAAAAATATTGAATTCATCATTTTTAATTTTTAATCTAATTTTTTTTCTAATGGGAAATATTATAAAAAATTTTAATAACTGTTTTTTTCAGACAAGTGAAATTTTAACAGAATGGGTTGGACTGAGACCAGGACGACCACAAATTCGATTGGAAGTTGAATTTGAAAATAATAAAAATTCGCAAGATTTTGCGGTAAATTTAATTATTTAATTTTTTTTTTTTAAATTGTAGGAATAGATTTTTTGAAAAAAAAAATTCTTTTTAGATAATACACAACTATGGACATGGAGGAAGTGGCGTTACATTGTGCTGGGGATGCGCGTTAAATGTGGTAGAAATTTTGAAAAATTTAAATTTTACAAATTATAAATCAAAACTCTAAATATATATTTTTTCTGTGTTTGAAAAAATTACAAATAGAAATTTGTAAATTCTATTATTTCTATTAAATTCTACTATTTCTATTATAAAAATAAATAATTGAATAAATGAATATTAAAAATTAAAATAAAGTACAATATTATAAAACATGTGATAATATTAATTACCAAAAAAAAATTAAACATAAAAATTAATGGAATTAAAATTTTCTAATAAAAAAATGTTTTTATTTAAAATTTTGTAATAAAGAAATTTTTTGAATGAAGAAATGTTTTTTAATTTAAATATTAATTTAATTAATAGTAAAAAAAATTTTCTACTGAAAAAAAAATCAAAGTTCGAAAAAGAATTCCTCGATGCACATACACTGCTTATTTTAGAACAAGTCTATAAATTAACTGCAAGAATGTTTCTTTCGGTGGAAATAATTTTATTTACTTTTGTACTAGAAATTTTTGTTAATGAGGTGGGAGGCAAGTAACGTTCTGTACTAGGTACCCGACATTATAATTCAACCTTGTCTCTCGGGATCCTTGAAAAACTGAGAGTAATTGCTCATCACAATCGATAAAACCTAATTATAACAAAAATATAATTTCCAAGTCCCCATTGCACAGTTGCAGAGCGACACAATAGTTAAGAAAGTGAAACATATAACATATCTTAAGTTTTCTCTCATTAACAAAAAAAACAAAATTAATCGCTAAAATTTAAAAAGAAAAAATAAATAATTATTATTTTAAACTTTTCATCTTTCTCTTTTCAAAAACACAATTTTTTTGATTGGATTTATTTGAATAAATAAATTATTGACTTATTTATTAAAATAATAATTTTTTATCCTCCGAAAAGAACCTCAAAAAGAAAAACAAATGAAAAAATTTCGTTTCAAGTGTCAAGTCGCGGAATCAAGTGAAATTTTAATTGTAAAAAAAAATTAAACCAGAAATAATTATTTTTCCCACGTTTGAAAAATTGAAAATTATTTTTGTATGAGAATATTTCGTTTTTTTAATATTTCATTTTCAAATATCAAAACTCGTATTTCGTTGAAAACGAACCGTAGTCGCACGTCATTAATATTATAATAGTAAAAAAAAATAATAATTACAGTGAGAGAGAAAAGAAAATTATATAAAAAAGAAATAATGTGAAAAAGAATGGTGACAAATTTCGTCGGGGGAGAAAATTTGGTTTTCATCACGAAATCGATAAAAAATGATAATGAAGAATTGGAAAGAAAAAGTTGCAGTCAAACAATTTTTTCCAATCAAATTCAATTATTCGACGAAAAAACTGGAGAGAAAAAAATCTTTTCTAAAAATACGTCAAATTCTCAATATTTTTCTCAATATCTCGACAAATACAATCAACACAATCAGACAGATAATATTTCGAAAATTCCATCAGCCCGAAATTCAAATTATAAAGGTTATTAATTATTTGGTATAAAATATAAATTTAAAATTAATAAATAAAATTACTACTGTTATTTATTTTTATTATTTAGAAAATCAATAAAAATACTTATTTTTTACTATTATTTTGTTATTATTATTATATTATTTTATTACTATTTTTATTATTTTCATTAATATTGCCAGCTTATTTATTTCTAATTGGATTTATTTCAATAAACAAATAATTAAATATTTATTAATTACAAAATTTTTTGTTTTCAAATATAAATTTTTAAAATAATTTCATAATCAAAATTTAAAAAATCCATTTATTATTATAAGTACAAAATTAATTATTACTGTTCATATTTTCAAAAATTTGAATAAAATTTCACAATATCCTTCTGAACAATTCAATTATTTTTTTTTTTAGTAAAATCTTTACAATAATTCAATTATTTTCAAAACAATTTTAATTAAATTCTTCGGAAGAATTCAATTTTTAAAAATTTTAATACATTTTGAAAAAAATAAAAAAATCAATTTTTTTCGAAAATTTTAATAAATTCTTTGAAAAAATTCAATTATTTTTATAAATAGTAAAATTTTTCGTAATAGAATTCAATTAATTTTATAAATTAGTAAAATTCTTTGCAGGAATTCAATTATTTTCAAAACAATTTTAATTGAATCCCTCGGATGAATTCAAATATTTTTAAATATTTCCATAAATTTCAATTATTTCCATAAAATTTTAATAAATTCTTCGAAACAATTCAACTGTTTTTATAAATACTAAAATTCTTCGCAGGAATTAAATAATTTTTAAATACAATTTAAAGAAAATTACACGAAAGAATTTAATTATTTTCAAAAATTTCCATAAAATTCAATTTCAACAAGAATTTAAAATTCTCTAAAAATAATTCAATTATTCTCCAAATATTTTAAAAATAATTCAATACAAAAATTAAATTACTTTCAAAGTTTCAATGCAATTTTTAAATATATTCGTCAAAAAAATTGAAAGCATTCAATTATTTTCAAAAAATAATAAAATTCTTGTGATGAATTCAATTATTATTTTGAATTATACTTAATTTTAATAAAATTCTTTAAAAAAATTCAATTATTTTCGAAACAACTTTAATTGCATTTCTCAAAAAAATTTCATTATTTTTAATTATTTCTATGAAATTCTTCATAACAATTTAATTATTTCTTAAAATTTTAATAAATTCCTCGAAACATTTCAATTATTTTTATAAAAAGTAAAATTCTTCGCAATAATTCAATTATTTTTATAACTAGTAAAATCCTTTGCATAAATTCAATTATTTTCAAAACAATTTTAATAGAATTCCTCAAAAGAATTTAAATTTTCAAATATTAACATAAAATTCATTTATTTTCAAAAATTTTAATAAATTCTTCGGAACAATTCAATTATTTTTATAAATAGTAATATTCTTCGCAAGAATTCAATTATTTTCAATACAATTTTAATAAAATTCTTCTTCATAAATTTCAATTGCTTTCAAAATTTTCAATTAATATTATTGATGAAACTCCATTAGTTTAAAAAAAATTCAAAATTTTCAATACATTTTCGTATCATTTTATTTTTAATCACATAATATTAATTGTATAATTATTTATCTATTAAATATTAATTTTCAGTCATTTAATTGTTAATTTTTAATAATTTAATATTAAATATATTTTTTGATAATAAATTTTGAAAAATTAAATTAAAATATTTAAATATTATTTAACTATTTTGTAAATAAATAAGTCTAATAAATTATTAATAATTAAAAAAAATATAAAAATTCTTCAGGAATTTACGCAAGGGAAAGAGAAAATGAAACAAACAAAAGTGAAAGTGAAAAGTTATTGTCGAAGACGAAGAAGAAGAAGAAAAAAAGGTAAATTTATTTTCTAAATATTAAAAATTACCATTTATATTAATTAACATCATTGAATACAGTCATAATTATTATTTTTTGATTGAAAAAACTTTTAGTGTAAAATTATAAATTTTAATTATTAATAAAAATAAAATATTGCAATTAATAAGGTGTCTAAGTATATGCACAAGTAATTGCAAATACGATGTGGTCAGAAGAGTTGCATCAAAATTTGGAATGCGTGAAGTTGGAGAGGAGAGCAGTTGGAATCTTTATTGGACCGATTTGAGTATCAGCATTGAGAGAGCAAAGGAAATGAAACGTTTTCAAAAAGTTAATCACTTCCCAGGAATGACTGAATTATGTCGAAAGGATTTACTCGCGAGAAATTTAAATCGAATGCTCAAACTTTTCCCCCAGGACTACAATTTCTTTCCAAAAACTTGGTGTTTTCCCGCTGAGTATATATTTTTAAAGAAACTATAATAATTTCTCTCCATTTTTTTCTTTAATAATTATTAACTGATAAATAATAAATAATTAATAAATAATTAATACGACGATTGTTATAGTTAATATTGAATAATTAATAGATAATTAATAAATAATTAATAATAAATATCAACAATTGAAAATAAGCAAACAATTAATAAATAATTAATAATAAACAGCAACAATTGAAAATAAGTAAATAATTAATAAATAATAGATAATTAATATCCAATAATTAAATTAATTATTGGATAATATTATTACTTATTAATATTAGTAATTAATAATAAGTAGAAATAAATAAAAATAAGTAATAATTATTATTATTAATAATTGCCCATTAACAGTAATAATTATTAATAATATAATGAACTATTATTTATTATATTCTTGAATAAAAAAGAAATTTATAGTTTAGGAGAGGCAATAGCGTATTCAAAGGTGCGAAAATCAAAAACATTTATAATTAAGCCAGAAACTGGTTGCCAGGGACGTGGGATTTATTTAACAAAAAATTTAAAAGACATTAAGCCCTACGATCGTTTAATTTGTCAAGTGTACCTTTCCAAGGTAAGATTTCTTTTCCATATAATTTTGAAAATTATTTTCTATAAGAATTTTATTATGAAAAAAAATTAATTTCAAATCCACTTGAGTTTGAAAATTTGTTTCTTTTTTAGTGAATAATATTGCTCATTTAAAAAATCATAATATTTAAATAATAAAATTAATAATCATGAAAAAAGTAAAATAATACCAAAAGCAAAATAACGAAACAAAGCAACAAAATAATTAATGAGAATGGGAATAGTAAAAAATAAGAATTACTAAAATTACTAAAATAAAAATAATGAAAAATAAAAATTACTAAAATAATAATAATGAAAAATAAAAATTACTAAAATAATAATAATAAAGAAAAATTATAATAATAACAATAATAATGTTATTTATTATTAATTAATAATAGTAATTTATTATTAATTAACAATTAACAATTAAATTTAGATAATATAAAATTGAAATAAAAAAAATATTATCGCACCGATTTCTCACGTTCCATTTCTTTTTATAAAAGAATTAATATCGTTTTGAGCTCAAAAAAAAAAATTTTTTTTTTCGCAAATGAAATTATTAAACACAGTTTATAGTTCTGCTCTTTCATTAATACAGCCTTTCTTAATCGACGGTTTCAAATTCGATCTTCGAGTCTACACATTGATAACGTCATGTGATCCACTCAGAATTTATGTTTACAATGACGGACTCGTTAGGTAAAATTCAGAATTTCTATTATAATTTTATTTCAAAAGAAAAAACTGGAATTTAAAGAGAACAATTTTTGTAGAACAGAAAAAGATATTTTTCATCAAAGAAATATTTTTTATTTTTATTTTTTGTTTCAAAATATTAAATTTACAGATTTGCCACTACTCGCTATAAGGAACCAATGAATCACAATACATCCAATGTTTTTATGCACTTGACTAATTATTCAGTTAACAAGCACAGTCGAATGTTTGTCATCGACGACGAAGTCGGAAGTAAGAGGTTCGATTAAAATCTCAGTTTTTAAAACAAAAAAAATTTTTTTTTCAGTAAAAAAATTAACAAAATTAGAAAAAAAAATTAGAAATTAAAATTAAAAATTAAATTAGAAAAAATGTTTATAAATTAGATAAAATTAATTAATGAACTATTATTAATTAACAACATCTATTTATTGAATTTATTATTTATTAATAATTTTAATTATTAATAATTATTAATATTTATAAATTATAATTAATAAATATAAAAATTTTTGTTTTGAAAAATGATTTTATTGAAATAAATTTTTTTTATTGGGGATTTTTCTCTTTTTGTGAAATTCGGACTTTTTTTTTGTCAGAAAAATATCAACACTGAACAAATGGTTGAAAGAGAATAATATCGCTATTGATGAATTGTGGTGTAAAATTGACGAAGTAATTGTAAAAACAATACTCGCTGCTGTTCCCATATTAAAGCACAACTATCACACGTGCTTTCCAAATCACGATTTGACTTATGCTTGCTTTGAATTATTGGGATTTGATATACTTCTCGATTGGAAATTGAAACCATTTCTCTTGGAGGTAGAATATATTTTAATTGAATTCAAATTATATTAATAAATTGAAATTATAAATTATTTTACAAGTAAAATTATATTAAAATTATAAATTATTTTATAAGTAAAATTTTATTACAATTATAAATTATTTTATAAGTAAAATTATAAAATAATTGAAATTATAAAATATATTATAATTAAAATTATAAATTGAACTTTAAGTAAAATAAACACTGAAAAAAAAATTGATTCAAATAAACTATTTTATTATCATATAAATATTTATTTGTATTAAATAAGTTTTATTTGAATCAAATTAATTTTTCTTTTTGTAAAATTAGAAATAATAATTATAATAATGTTGTAGTTAACAATATATTTATGACAAATATTACATAAAAAATTTTAGTAATAAATAAAAAATAAATAAAAAAATTTAGTAATATTTATTTAATAAATTATTCAGTAGAGTTGTTGAAAGTATTTTTAATTTCTTTTTAATTTTTTAAATTCAATAAATAATTGCTCTTAAAAAATTCCATTTTTGTTTATTAGAAACTTATCTCATGAATTTTTTTTTGGTAAAATAAACACTAGGTAAATCATTCTCCAAGTTTTCATACCGATGCCCAATTAGATAAGGACGTGAAGGAGTCTTTATTGATAGACACATTCGAGATGTTAAATCTTCAATTGTGTGACAAGAAAAAAGTCATCGAGGAAGATAGAAAACGAATAAAGGAAAGATTATTGCAGGGAATCAATGGCGTTAAGGATTCAAAGTAATTATTAATTTTGCAATTATTACTATAATTATTGTCACCATTACTATTATTATTAATTTTGTTTTTATTTTTATTATTACTTTTTCAATTTTTTATTTTTTTATTTTATTATATATTTATTATTGCTTTTACTATTTTTATTTGAATTTTTCCTATTCCTTTTATTTATTAATTTACATTCATTATTTATTTCATACTATTTATAATAATAATAATTATTATTATTATTATTATAAATAGTATTATTATTTTTTATTATTTTTAATATTTTTACTATTTTTACCATTGTTTTTAAAATTATTTTTACCATTTTTTTTAGTAACAATATTATTATTTCATTATCAATAAATAAAAAGTATATAAATTTATAAAAAATATTCCCCTCACTATTTTTTAATAGAAGTATTATTTAAAAAATATGTAAAGTAAAGAAGAAGAAAAATAATACAAAAAGAATTAAAATATAAAAAAAATTCAATTAATAAAAATACTAATAATAATAATAATTCTGAAAAATAATAGTAATAGTAAATAATAACAACAATAATTGTTGAGGAAAAATATTTGCCATTTTTTTCAGAATATTTCCTATATCCACATTCCTGGAATATTTACTCCACATTTTTTTTTTTTTTTTTTTTTTTTTGACAAAATACAAAAAGGAAAAAAAAATATTTTCAAGTACACGTGTTTTGCTGAAATATATTTTTTTTCGACTCTCGTTCGAAATGTCACACTACACAATGTGACTTCATTTGTAAAATAAAAAAAAAATTTTCATCTTCCTTTTCTTTTTCATACACAAGCAGTTTAACTACAGGGGACCAAGTGAAAAAAATTGAAATAAATTCAATTCAAGTTCAACAGAAATGGGAGGACGAGCACATGGGAAATTTTCGACAAGTTTATCCTGGTTCGCAATGCGAGAAATATGATCAATTTTTCAAACAAACAACGACATCGATGTTTCAAGACACGGCATCGTCAAGAGCCCGTGAAGAGGCATCGAAACTCCAACGAGAAGAAACAGATGTATTTATTTTTTTCTTTTTTCACGAAAACAAAAAAAAAAAAAAAATTCGAGAATTTTTATTACCCAAACCCATAAATTTTCACTAAAGAGGGAAAATTTTAGTGACTATAAAAAAAATTGGGTTTAAAAAAATGTGGTCCTTACAAATATTCTTTACAATGAATTCATTTGTTGAGTAGAAATATTTTTTTACAAGTAAAAGTATTTTTTCTAAATAAAAAAATTATTTTCCAAGTAAATAAATTATTTTCCAAGTAAATAAATTATTTTCCAATAAAAATTCGTTTTCCAAGTGAACAGAAAATTACCTTCCAAGTAAAAAAAATTGTTTGTCAAGTAAAAAAACGAAAAAATAATTTTCCAAGTAAAAAAACTTTTCCTTAAATGTAAAAAAAAAATTTTAGCAAGTAAAAATTTTTTTTCCAAGCAAATAAATTATTTTTTAATAAAAATTCTTTTTTAAGTAAAAATCCTATTTCAACTAAAGAAAACGTCTTTTTTACAAGTAAAAATTTTTTTAAAAATAAAAATTCTTTTTCCAAGTGAAAAAAAATTTTTTCCAACTAAAAAGAAAAAATTTTTTCCACTATAGATGAAAATAAAAGAAGAGGAGAGCAAAAGAATTGGAGGAAAGTCGAGTGAATATAAAACAAGTTCAGAAAGTCCGAGAGCAAAGAAATTGAATTTTACCAGAGAAAAAATTAAATCATTGCCAATAAATCGCAAGCAGGTTTTGTTTGAGAAACTATTTTTAAGGAATAAGAAAAAAAAAATATCTATAATAAAATCAAATATCACAAAATTAATCCAATTGTCCATTTAAAAAAGAAAAAAAAACACAAATTTTTTTTCCTTTACAGATAAAAAAGTCACCTCAACCAACATCAGTTGAAAATAAATTTAATTATTCCTTTCGACCTGAAATAATATCAGCTACGGAGGAACGTGAAAGAATTGCCGCAATGGCACATCGTGATTTTTTAATCAAAAGTTATGGAATGCTGGAGCAAATTTATTTATCGATGAAGAAAAATGGTGTTTTACGAATTGCCGACGAGAGGAAATATTTCTATTATAACAACAATAAATTGGGTTACGAGAGAAAAAAATTGAATTCCGGGGTTAATAAAAATATATTATTCGATTCGTCATGGGGGAAATTGACGGAAAAATCTGATAACTTCTGTAGAAGTGCGTCGAAAAGAATTAAATTAAAGTCGATTGTCAATGAGGTCGATTGTTTGATTCAGAAATCATTTAATGTAAGGTGAATTCTATGTTTAGAAAAAAAAGCTAAAAAAAAAAATAAATACAAAAATTTTACAAAGGATTCAAATTTTTGTTTTCAGACCGAAAACAATGAGTCCAGTTATGATAACTGTAAGTTTTTGTGTATTTTTTCCTTTTTTTCTATTTGATTTTCTAAACAAAAATTTATTTTTAAAAAAATTCCTCACCTAAAAGTTCTTTATTTCCAAATAAATTTTTTTTTTCATTATTCGTAAAATGTGAAACTTTATTTTCAAAATTTAAATTAAATTATATATTAATCTGCAGAAAATTAAAATTTCGAAATGACATTACGTTTTAAAGAATAAAAATTTACAAATATAACTTTATTAACATTCATTTAAAAAAAATAAACAAAATTATAATAAATATTTCATTGTTAAATTTCGATAATTTTTAACCACTGGAAATATTTTTCAATTATGAAAAATAATTATCAATTAAATTTTTTTTACAGATCTAAAGGTAACTTGCAGTGAAATTCCAATTTACACGCGATCAAATATTAACAACAAAATTTCCACTGAGGATTTCAATTCCGAGGAGCAAATGAAAAATATTCACTTGGCATCAAATAATTCGAAAAATTTCCAACTTTACACTCTCACTAAACAAGATAAGTTCAATTCTATAAAAATTAAATAGAAGAAATTATAGAAATTGTATCAAAATTAAAAAAAATTTAGAAAATTTTCCGAAAAAAACGAAAGAAGAAATACATTTTTTTCCAAGTCAAAAATATAGAATTCTATGGAAAAAAAATTGAAGACCGAAAGAATCAAAAATATGAACAAATTACAAAAAAAAGATAAATAAAAGACAATTTATAAAATTAATAAAAAAAAAAATTCAATTTTTAATTCAATACGTTTGTTTAAAAAAAAAATTAATTCCGAAATTCTCGGAATGGTATAAGTTGAAAATTTTTAATTTATATTTTTAATTGTAATTTTGCCTGTAAAATCGAAATAAATATTGTTTACGAAATTTTGTTTAAAATTTTTAACTCTCATTTTATAAACTAATTTATATTTATAAATTAATAATTGTAAACATATTAATTATTAATTTATTGTCAATTATTAATTATTATTAAATTATTCTTATTAATAAATAGTAATTATTAGTAGCAATATTAATTATTAATCTCAACAAACAATATTAATTATTTATATTAATAAACAATTACTATTTATAATAATAATAATTTAATAATAAATTGACAATTATTAATAAGAAAGAATAATGCAGTCGAATTATTTAAAACCAACTTTTCAACTTGATCGTCAAAATTAATAATTTTTGCTACAAGTAAATAAATAAATGCGAAAACAAAAAGAATACAATGTACCAAAATGTATTATGTATAACAATTTTTATTGCTGATATATATTTTTGTATTCACATGATAAAAAATAAACTATGAACAATTTGTTGCATATCGCGATATTTTCCGTGCTGTGATCATTTTTTCTTTGTTTTCCTATTAAATGTTTAAATTGTATGACATTTATTATGATACACAAATTTTCCGTCGAATTGTATACACAATATGCATCTTATGCTTTGCAGTTTCGCTATTTTTTATTTTTTTTTTATTTTCTTTTCTTTTCATTTTTGTCAAGTTTTATAATTATTTTCACATCTCTCAATATTATTTCGTGAAATTTACTTTCTCCAATTAATCAGGAAGATTGGTTTTTTTCAAAAGAAAATGTGTTTTTTTTCTTTCTTTTGAAAATACAATTTTTTTTTCTCTGTAAACAACAAAAGAAAGAAGAAAGACATCAAAAATTAGATGAGAGATAGAGAGAAAGAGAAAGAGAGAGAGAGAGAGAAAGGAAAAAAATCTTACACTTTCGTGCAATATTTGTGATAACATTATTTTTGTTTTTTTTTAATAGTTAAATATAAAAGTCTTATAATTTACATGTGAAATCAAGTGTTCTATATATGTACATCAGCGAATTTTGTTGCAGCGTCGCTTACATATTTTTTTTTTATTTTTTTAATTATTTCCTTGACATTAGTTTTAGATAAATAAATTATCTAAAAACCATAACTCAATAAATACTATTCATTATACAATTCAGATTTTGTTTACAAAAATCGGTAATATTCGCCTTCAATATTTTTTTTTTACTTACAAAACTGCAATGGCCAAATTTAGTGTTTAAAAAAATTTATTTTTTTTTTAAATAAAAATAAAAAAGAAACAAAAATGGTCAGATGCACCTAACAGATCACCGATTTACTCTCTATTTACAAAAAGAAAACACCATGAAAAAATTAGACGAAAAAAGTGCTTTTTTTTCGCGCAAATTTTTCCCTTTTTTGAAAGTGTTTTGTAATTTTTTTTCTTTTTCATTATTTTTTTTTTTTAGTTTTTTTTATCTTCTCTGTGAAAAGATAGTCACGCTTTTTATTTATGCCAATACCATTTTTAAGTCTAACAGAACGATCCATTAATTCACTATTTACACAAAAGGTATAGCTACCTACAATAATTATTTAATTATCTTTTTCCCTCAGCAAAAATTAATTGTGAAGAAATATAAAGATGATCATGAATGTGTGCCATATTCCACATTCTTTTCTCAATTATTGAGTTCTCCCTCTTTCCCCCGAGTCCCTTAAATAAAATCACACAATTTATTTTTTTTCAGTCACTTAAAATTTTCCATTCAAAAAAAATTATAAAAAAATAAAAAAAATGAAAAAATGAAAACAAAAATTTTAAAAATTGAAAAAATAATAGTAACAATACTGAATAATAAAAAAATTAATAATAGTAAAAAATTACTACTACAAAAATGTTAACAAATATTTAATAGTCGAAATATTTTTATATTTATTATAAAAAAAAAAAATATTTCGATAATATTGATATATATATTTTAATATCAAAAAAACGTTTCTTGTCTCATTGAGAAAAGAATGAAATGGAAGGACAAAGTAAGTATTAATGATATTTCTATTCGTTGTAATACTAATATGAGCATTATGCAGTATAGAATCCTGTGTGTTACTTTTTTTTCTTGTGTAATATTTTGTTAAAAACGCACAATTAAAGTTATTATTGGAAAAAAAATAAAACGATAAACAGAATATTAAACTATACAATCGGGCTCATTAACATTCTTCTGTTCGAAGATTCGGTGCGGTTAATATTTTCCCCTCTGGCTAAATTCATTCTATCGTTAGTGGTTTTTTTTTCTCTTCACCCCTTTTTCAAAAATAGAAAATTTCTTACACACCAAATTTTTTTTGTCATTAAAAATATTTTTTTCCAAGAACAATTCTCTCAAAAAAGAAATGTTTTCTCTATTTAGTGAAAACTTTCCCCTTTCTACAAATTTTTCTCTAAATAGCAGAAAATTAGAGAAAATACTTCTCTAAATATAAAAAATTAACTAGTGATTAAAAAAATGTGTTAAACATTTTTTTTCTTTTACAAATATATAAAAATTCGAAATATTAAAGACTTAATATTTATCAAATGAATTTAAAAATTATTTTCGTGCCACTATTTTTCTTATTAAATCAAGGAAAATCATTGTTCCTTTTCTTTTCAGTGAAAGAATAAATTTTTTTTTCATAAACAAAATCTTTGTTTATTTTTCTATTTCAATGACAAAAAAATTTTCGAGTGCAAGAGAAATTTCTGTCTTAAATTAAAATACAATGCAAAAAATCTAAAATGGCAAGTTTGAGTTTCAAAAGTCCCCCGAAATTTAATTGAAAATGCTGCGGATGTATGAGTTATTTTTTCTTTAAACTACAATCTAGATAAAATCTTCAACGACGCATAATACGATTTTTAAAATATTAGATATGACAATTTAATTTTTTTTTTTGTCAACGCGTCGATATTGATTGACTGCTTTAAACACGGAGCATCTAAAGATAAAAATTAGTGGCTTTATGGCATTATGCACATTAATTACTTTTTTTTCTTCTCCTTATTCTTCTTCATTCAACTACGTAAAAATCCTGCTACGTTTTTTCTTCGTAATGACAAAATTTTTGTTTGTTTGCTTTTCTTTTAGTGACTTTAAATCGACACATGCTGAAGGAAATAAAAATAGATTTTAACAGAAAAGAGAAAAATAAAATGGAAAAAAATATAAATATACCAAAAAAAGAAACAGTATTGAGCATTTTCAACGTACACGTTTACAAGAATGGTGCGTTTTCGATTAAAAAAAAAAAAGTGGTAAAATTCTTCTTCCTTCAAATACTATAGTGTTAATATAATTGCTCGGTGACGTACCAATTAATTAATAATATTCATGAACTTTCACGTTCGAAATATTTAGCTGCATTTTTTTTCTCTCAAAGAGCTTCGTAACAAAATTTTCAAGTTCTTTTCAAAAGAAAATTAGTTTTGAAAAAATAAATTAATTAATTTTTGAAAATTATCGTAACGTTCAATTATTAATGTCAATTTTCAGTAATTAATACTAATTTTCAAAATTTACGATAATTATTAAAATTTACACTCGTTTTTCAAAGTAGATTTTTAAAAATTGATCGCAAAAAATGAAACAAACTTTTCGAAATTACAGTAATTTTTAAAAAATTTTTCGCAAGAAATGAAATAAAATTTTTGAAATTATAGTAATTTTTTAAAAATTTAAGAAATTAATCAATATTTGAAAATTTATCAACATTCAACGATAATTTTTGAAAATGGTTCAATATTCAAAAAATTATTTGACTTTAAAAGACAAAAACAATTTTCGATATTTATAAATTAATAAATATTGAAAACTACATTTTTGAAAAATTGTCTGAATTTCTAGAAAATTAGTCACAACTTGTAAAAATCATGAATAATCAATCATAATTTTCCTCTTGAAAAATTATCAAAATTTTCAAAAATTGTATTTTTAGTTTAGAAAAAATAAAATACAATTTTTCAAATTATTCCAATTTTCAAAAATTATGAATCGATATTATAATTTGTACCTAAAGTTGTTAAAATTTACGAAAAACTTACTACAATTTTTTTAAAAAATCGTGATTTTGAAAATTTACAAGAAATTAATTAACATTTTTTTCAAAAAAAAAAAAATTATCAATTTTAAGAACAAGTAATTTTGTTAAACGATTATTTTTTCTGCTAATATCAATAATTGAAAATTTTTACTATTCGACTCGTTTAGACTTTCATTCCTAATTTCACTCACACCTTATTCACACAAAAAATTTTAGTCAATTTCACATGGAAACAAAAAAAAAATTAATTAAATCTTAACTGGCATTTTGGAAATTCAATAAAATTGCAATGTTCGCATAATACTGCAAATAAAAAAGATCAACAACCCAATAGAGTTAAACTTATAAAATAAATTGTCTTAAAGACAATTAAAATTGAAAAATAATATTAGAAATAGCGTTTCTTTTTCTAAAAAAAAGTGAAATTTCGTTTTTTCTCTCTTCTTAAATCTTAAAAAATTTGTTAGTCCTCTTTAAAAATAATTAACGAAAGAAATCTCTTTTTTTTCCAAATTTCAAGATCGGGGAAACACGTGAATTTGATAATAATTAAAAGAAAATGAAAAAAAAAATTTTTGGCGTGCGAATAATCGTTTCTGCATTTAAACGTACTTTATCCAATCACGATTTCTTTTCTTTCTTCT